AGAGAGAGAGAGAGAGTGCGTAAGGAAGAAGGAGCAAACCACACGCAGAGCATCAACCAACCACCCACGAACAGCAACCGCATTTTTAAAGTTAAGACACGACTATAAATTTATGAATACAAACTATACTATGAATAAGACCTTTGACTTCTGATCCATCCCAGGTGACAACTTTGAGACAGGTCAAGGGTACGACGCCAAGGGAGACAAATACGACATGCTACCCAATAGCCGGGGACGTCCGGCACTACGAGATCCCCTGGATAGATTCTAAATCTGATCGGTTCAGAGTTATCATTTCTGTTGCCTGAAACCAAAGTTGTACAGATTACGATAGTTCGCAACTCCCTTCAGACCAATAAAGCTGTTGATTTTGGGAGTACTCACTCGAGCTTTAAATATTCGAGTACCCGCTCGAATCCAAAACCTCCGAGTACTCGGGTAATTACTCGATTATAATATGTTCCTTTCTTTTCACACAAAGAGGGCTTTTAGTAGAAACTAAGATTATGCAATTTGTTGTATCGCTTTTGTTTCCTGCTCCACTGTTTTTTTCTCTTCCTTTTATTGGTGCCCTATTCAAATCATCTCGGTTATCTTAATAAATAATAGGCTACTTTTGTCTTTGTTTTCACTATTTACTATTATCAATATTTCTATTTCTGACTTAGCATTTTAATACATGTAGATGCTATGAATTAGTATAACTGTTAACATTTATTTAGGCATCAGCAAAATTAAACTGCCATTGAACCTGTGCTCATGATTCAAAGACTTGAGTACTCACCCGAGTATTTTCATAATTACCCCGACTTGGACTCGAGTATTTAATAAATTAATAACTCCGATTTGAACTCGAGTGCGAAATACTGGACTTGCACACCTCTACAGTTGGTGCTGGTGTTGTACATGTATTATTCGGTATTGCTTCAACCCACCTCTCCCTCCCCTGCCATCCCCGAACACTCACACACAATAATTCACTCTATTTGTGGAAAAAGAAAGAGCGTTGTTGAACTAGGCCTATGCCTATATACAATGCAGTATCCCCACGTTTTTTAAAGACATTATTTTAAATGAAAATTATTATTCTACTTTAAATTTGTTAAAGCATTTTTGTGGGAACGTTTCTTTCTTTGAATTTAACTTCACATATAGGCCCTTTTTTTCTCACAAATTAAAAAAAATGTACCTGCGTATAGTACATAATATGAATGTTGTGCATACTGTCTGGATCTTAATGGTTTTTAAAAATATTTTTGTTTCTGTTGTTTTTTTAAAACCTGATTTTGTTTTGTTTTTCTATAACACAATATTGTCATTCTGTTGAAACCTAATTTGCAATTTTACCTAGGAGTATCCATAACTTAACGAGAAAAATATTTTAACTCCTGCAACGTGAAAGCCCGCCCCTCCAGCCCCCCCCCCCCTCTTTCTCCGGTCAAACCCCACACTTAAACACATAACCCACTATGGTTGGTTTTCAATACAATGTGATATATTCAGACGAAAGCTGTTGTTTAGCTGACACGATATATCTATGGATCCACACTTTTAATGGTGTTAATTTTAACTTACTTTTTCTTCTATTGACATAATGGTTGTTCCCTTTTTCAAAACCCAGCAGGCGTGAACAGCGTAAAGGTAGGCGCCTACACAATCGTTTATCTAATTACTTGATCTATTTATCTAATCTATCAAACAAAGGGAAAAGAATTATCATTAATACAATTTAATTATATAGGTCTTCCATTTTTTTCATTACCTACAGTGCGATAAGTTTTCCTCAGGATTTGCCACTTCTGGATGTAGACTGTCATGATGTAAACTTTATCTATTATCTTGCATCTGTGTTTGTCGCAGCCGCCATTTTTTTGCATTTTTTGGTCCGCGAATTTTGAAATTTTCAAAAAATACGAAAAAAGTTACTTCAAAACATATTAGAGCATGTATTTTAATAAGTTTTAAGATGTCCCTGTGTATCTATTTTCATGCGGAGAATATAAGTACATTACATAGATCTACTATTTATATTGCTGTCTGTCTTTCATTTTTCCCTCTTTGTAGTGTTTTAATTTGTTGAGTTGGTGTCTTAATTTTTCAAAAAATGTTCTGATTTGTTTTTCTTTTTTTGTGTTTATACAGCGTAATGTCATTTAATTTAATGCTGTTACTACCCTTTTAAAAATATAAGTGTGTTACGTTAGAGCGTGTCTCCACCAAAACCGAATACTAATACCGGCACGCCCCAATGGTGTGTGATTCCATAATTTACTTGTATTATCTTGTAGGCCTACTTTTTCTTGAATTACACACGCTTAGGGTTAAAACAGCATATCTTCTGATAGGTGGACACGCGATCTGACTTGATAATTTTTCCGGTTATTTATGCGGTTCTAATTTTGGTTTCATTCTAACTCACTCTATTGTGAAATCTTTATTTTTCACGTTTTTACCGTGTGGGTGACAGCAAATGATATTCTGGATGCTTTCAACAGAGCACAAGAAATTCTGGTGCTTTAGATTGTTACCTCTATCAACATATTGCTATATTATATATACGTCGTCACAGAGAGTTGAAAGCTTGAAATTAATGGCAACTTTTGGACAAAAAAATGGCAACAAACGCAGATGCTAGCCTAGTATTATCAACCATGAAGCCAGGGTATATCAACAAATTTGGCGCGCTTTAACTTGAATTGGAGCCAAAAAAAACACCCAAAACAAAAAAAAACCCCACGATAAACAGGCGAAACAGAGAAAACAGTTACATTTATGACGTTGGATCAGAATAAAGAGAAATTTTGAGCATAGTATGATAGTTTCAAAGGTTGGTTTGTTCATTTCATTTTTGTGACTAAAATGTTTATTCTATCCAACAAATCATGATCATAACAGGTTTTTATGTCCCTGTGGTGTGTGCCATTTATGAGTGTGGGCTTTTAAAGATTTCTTAATCAAATATTGGGTGTCGTTTTGTTGTTTTAAGGTGTGTGAGTGTGTGTGTGTGTACGTGTGTGTTTGTGTGTGTGTGTGCGTGCGTGCGCGAACACTAGTGTGCATATGTATGTGTGAGACTGATAAAAATAGGAGGTGGGTGCAGAGAGAGAACCGGACTCGTAATCGTGAGATTGCGAGTTCGGGGGTTCGAGCCTCAGCTCGGTCCGACGTTGTGTCCTTGGGAAAGGCACTTTACACGAACTTCCCACTTGGCTCGGTCCTATCGGAGACGGACGTTAAACTAGGAGGTCCCGCCCCTTAAATAACCTAACAGTGTTGATAGGGGCGTTAAACTTATACCATTTCACCATTTCAGCAGAGAGAGAGAGAGAGAGAGAGAGAGAGAGAGAGAGAGAGAGAGAGAGAGAGAGAGAGAGAGAGAGAGAGAGAGAGAGAGAGAGAGAGAGAGAGAGAGAGAGAGAGAGAGAGAGAGACAGACAGACAGACAGACAGACAGACAGACAGACAGACAGACAGAGACAGACAGAGAGAGATAGAGAGAGAGAGAGAGAGAGAGAGAGAGAGAGAGAGAGAGAGAGAGAGAGAGAGAGAGAGAGAGAGAGAGAGAGAGAGAGAGAGGGGCTGGATTCTGCTCGGTTAATCGAAGGCTTGCAAAGCAGCGGACGGCTTGCGCTAGAGGCTTGCGAGCAGGCATGTGATTTGATTTGCCTCCCGCTTGCTACCGGAGGGAACTTCCGGTGAGTTGTGACTCGCAGTCCTGCTGTACTGTGTCGTGACGTCGCCAACTCTCGTGGCTGTGGGCTCAGTACATATTAGTAATATTACAGAAGATTCTCTGGTTATTTGTGTTGAGAGGCTTGCACCAAAAGTGCAAGATCGGTTGTTGTTTTTCATAGTTCGGTTGTAAAAAAACAAAAATTCAATGCACTTAAAAATTAATATTGGATTGGCTATTCTTACGATGTTAAGGCCTGTTTATTTTTAATGTGCACGAGCCAAGCGCTTCATCGTCGCACGCAAAAGACCTCAGTTCGATTCCCGTATGGGGAGATATTTTTTACTGAGAACCTCCGTCTTTCTGCTGGGGCGTTGTTCCCTCTCAGCCCAGGTTGGCCCTGACATTGGGTTGAAGTAGGCCTAGCCCGTCTCCTAAATGTTCTGTATTAATAGTATTATGCCACTGTGAGTGCAACACATCTACAAAATAGGTTACATACATACGATACAAAAGCCAATCACAATGACCCCTGGAGTTTTCCATTTTAGGGTAATCTAAGTCAACTTATTTTTATTACTACCAGAAACCTAGGTCTCTATTACTACAATACCACGCTCCCTCTCACTTATCCATTCGCTTAGCTGATCATTTTGTAATTCGTTTTTTTCTCCTTTGTGCAGTGTTTATTTTCTACCTTTACCTAGATACCCAGGGGTTTCATCTGCGGTTCAGAGTTTGATGTGCAATGACCCGCCATTGCTTACAGTACTGTTACAGTCACTATCTATTACTACTTTGAACGTCCTGTGAACCACATGCAGCTCATTAACTTTGTAAACAGAAAACTTTTCTTTCAAAGTTTTAAAAGTCGAGTAGGTTTTTCATGAGTCTGGTTATGATTTGATTATTCTTACGTGCTCATATCTACAGATTAAGCACCACTTGTTGCATCTAATGAAAGTCAAAACCACACATTCAAATCGGATAAACAAAAAATAACTTCAGCTCTCTACGCCTTGCACCAAAACAAGCCCAGCCTCTCCCTTCCTCCACGGTTCAACGTTCACACAGCGAGCAGTACTGCTGTTTGAACACATCGAGCGGTCCTGCGGCGTGCCGCTCGCTCGGTGTATCGAGACAGTACAAGTCAGCAGGTCAAGTTTAGAGCTTGTCCTGGGACAATTCTCTAGGCCTAGCACAAAGCAGTACTGTGTGAATTGTGGGGCTTGTGGCTGCGGACGGGATTTGAGACTTGAGGGCTATCCGCTGCTTTGCGCAGGCCTTCGATTAATCGAGTAAACTACAGCACCACGCCGTGGAGTGAGTCTGTGAACTCTGTGGGCGGAATCTCTCACTCTCCCCCTCTCTCTTTTTCTGATGTAAGTGGCTTCGCGGATTGCAAGCAAGGTGGGGATGATGAGGGGGCCTGACACGAGTGGCTTCGCGGATTGCTAGTTGCTGTGGACTTGAAATTTAGACTAGATCAAGGAGGTTACAGTTTGCGCTAGACTCAACTTATCATGCTGGTGATTTGATTTGATGATTTGACCTAGTGATTTGAGGCTTGTGACTTGAACTAGGGGCTTGCGAGCACGAGCGGGTTTGCTACCGGGGTACAGCCCTAAGAGAGAGAGAGAGAGAGAGAGAGAGAGAGAGAGAGAGAGAGAGAGAGAGAGAGAGAGAGAGAGAGAGAGAGAGAGAGAGACAGAGAGAGAGAGACAGACAGACAGATAGACAGAGAGAGGGAAAGGGTGCGTGCTGTTCTCATGAACGATTCCTTTTTTAATATCAAAATCATAATACATGTGCTTGTACATCATATATTATGATGAATGGAAGGAGTCGATATATCCCCAACAAGACATTCTTTAAAGTGCTGATTCGCTTGTGGAATTTTCAAGACTTTCATTCCACTTTGTTGGGCTCTATCCGAGATGGACACCTTGGGGGTTCCCACCTCTACATTACAGTTAGGAATTTCGAGGTACAAACCCAAATTAGGTCATGAAAAGGGAATTAACTCTTCAAATAAAAAAATAAAAAATCAGTCTCATGTCTGATGTGGCCCACAAAACTCCCACATTGAACCCGATATTGAGTCTGCTTCCTCATCCTCGGTGCCCTCCCCACCCCCATCCCACCCTCTCCACACCACACAGCTGTATCTATCCTCTGCTATGGGTGCCAGCAGAAATAAACAGCAAGAAGTTCAGGGTCCAAATTCAGGTGGAGTCAACACTTTTCCTAAACATCCCCACAAACTGTCAAAAATGCGAAGCAAAATAGAAAATACCATATATATACAAATTTATTTTGCAAGAATCATCTCATTATAAAGTAATTAGGGCGTTATGTTCTATACAATATTATTACAGACATATCAACAGCATAGACAAACTCCTTCTACATATCTCATGTACAATGTAGGCCTACACATAAAAAAGAGCATTTTTCTTCTTGAACTTGAACCCTTCGCCTTGTACCATGGTCTGGACTGGACGTGTCACACTGCACTGAGTTTTTAGCTTTAGTATGACTTTTACAGCACAGGTCATATAAAATAAGTGCCAAAGATTTGAGTTGTTACAAGAGAGTTACATACAAAGAAAAGAAGGAGGCAGAGATTAGGATGATAGATTTAATTGGAAAGAAGGAGCAACATTTCTGAATAATATTGTCCCCATTTTAAAAACATAAAATGAGTATGCAAATGTTTTGGTAGCAGTCACGAATTCAAAGTAATGGAGCAGTTTGACCGAAGTATAAAAAACAAAACAACAATTTTAATGAAATGGTACGGTAACATTTATGCTTGCCGTTTGCAGCAGCATCAAACATATTGTACAAAAACTACAACAGTTGAAAACTAAATATTTATTTGCCACAATTCAATCATTAGTGTTTTGTCCAGAGGACGGACACCTCAGCTCTTTTTGCAGGCAATTTTTTTTGTTTATCCGATTTAAATGTGTGGTTTTGACTTTCATTAGATACAACAAGTGGTGCTTAATCTGTAGATATGAACACGTAAGAATAATCAAATCATAACCAGACTCATGAAAAACCTACTCGACTTTTAAAACTTTGAAAGAAAAGTTTTCTGTTTACAAAGTTAATGAGCTGCATGTGGTTCACAGGACGTTCAAAGTAGTAATAGATAGTGACTGTAACAGTACTGTAAGCAATGGCGGGTCATTGCACATCAAACTCTGAACCGCAGATGAAACCCCTGGGTATCTAGGTAAAGGTAGAAAATAAACACTGCACAAAGGAGAATAAAACGAATTACAAAATGAATTTTTTTTTTCTTTTGAATTTGCATTACAAAGATAAATCTAAAATATGTTCACAATGTAGAAATCTGTGTGTGGTCTGCAGGTGTGCTTCGAAAAGGGTTGCATGTTTGGCTATAGTTCCACTTTTTTATTAAATTTAAACGATTGATACACGGAACTCCCTTTTGATATTCCTTCAGGTAAAACATGTTACAAAAACAACACCTGACACTTTACAAAATACAGGACCTGCATTAATAGAAAACTGCTAATAAAAGGCCTGGAAAAAATTTGGAATGTAACTGACCACAGAAGACAATAAAAGCAAAGACTGTCGTAAAAACAGTCCCTGTTAGTCACTGGAAATTGGAATTGTCTCTTCACAAATAAATATTACACACATATGAGCACACAAACACACTCACTCACATTCAGGATTTGAGTGGGACCACATTTTTCTCTGCCGTCATGGAATTTTCAAAAGGTGTAGGAAGTAAGCTCAGGCCCACAAATTATGTCAAACAATTTCGATGACCAAACATACAGCCGAGTGATCATTCCAGTGTCTTTGAGATCAAGTCAGGTTTTAATCATTGTCTAAAAAAGCAGGACACATCTGCCGTGTGTCTTCTCATACAAGTACAAGTACTTATCTCTGTTTCGTGATATTCAGTCTAAAGAGTTGCATGCACTGAAACAATTATTCAATAAAAAGATAAATTTCAATAATGATCAACATGCTTTCTCTGCAGAGTGAAAACATTAAATTAATCGAGAATATATCAATAATTTTGATAAAGATCTATGGAATTGCTCAGAATAGTCTTTAATTTTAATCAAAAACTGCTTTGTTATATAAAGCACATCATAATACAACCCTAATAGCAGTCAAGTACTGTTTCAGAGAAGGTATAAGCTAGTCTTGTCTTTGTGTCCTCGTGTAAACCCTTCAGCTGTACACAGTGTAGTTGTTTTTGCTAAGCTTTTCGAATTTCAATAAAATTGTGGATGTTTTATGTCCCCATTGACACAATTTAGTTCATTTAGTATGACTTATCTAGGCAGGTTTCAACTCTGCCTCTCAGGGCCCCAACACAAGCTACAGGGGATACAACATCTTAGCAGGAAGACAGAGATGCTCAATACAAATTCTCTCCACATGGGACTCAAGCTCATGTCTCTTGAGTGGGATGGCGAAAGGCCTATCAGTTACACTACATACACCGGTGTAAGTGTTGGGTAGGTATGGAATGCTTTCATTCATTATATAACTGAATTTTCTCCATACGTCATTTCAGCAGATACAAACATGCTTCTTTAATCTGTCCTCTCCCTCATGCCTGCTTCTTCACTTTTAGTCAAACAAGTATGTACAAATATAAACAAAATCTCTCTCTTTCTTTTTTTCATGTCAACTTTGCATATTTTCTTTTCATTCTCGCTCATCCTCCTCCGTCCTTCCCTCTCTCTCTCTCATTTTTACATCAAGTGGCGGAAGAGAGTGTCATATACAGATATTATCACAAATATGAACAAGTCCTCTGAAGTACACCCAAAAAAAAAATCTCTGAAATGTAAAGGTAACAAATATTTTCAACCGATAACAAAATATCTATAAATAATTGAACCACACCGAACCTGAACAACAACCTTCTTACATAATACAGTTTACATCCTGCTTCATACAGTAAAAGTGACTTGGAGACGCACAGTAGAGTCTGAAATGAAATCCTGGAATCATTCGTGGGGTACGCTGACCAAGATGGCCCAAAACAGACAGAGCTGGAGATCCTTTGTTGCTGCCCTAAACACCAGATGGCATAATGGGTAGTAAGTAAGTTCATACAATAGTCAAACCTGCCCAAACATCCATCTGTATGAGACAATCATCTGTTCAAACAACCCCCTCCCCCCCCTTTGGGTAAAAAAATAATTATTGTAATGGCACTGTGAAAGACAGCCATTTTTCTCCTAGACAAAATGGGAGGCCATCTTCAACAGTTTCAGCTGCACTTCCATTATAACAGATCGGTAGAAACCTCTAAAAAAGAGCATCAGCTCTATGAAAAAAAAGAAACAAAAACGAATCCAAAAAAAAAAAAAAAAACCCCTCCTGACTCAAGATTAAGAATTTGAGCTGTGTTTTCTCCGAGATACCCACAAGCCCCTAAACTTTAAAACAACATAAACAACAATGTGTCAGCCTGTTGAGGGATAGGTGAGTTACCCAAAGACAAGCGGTAACACGTTCTCAAAGTTTTTTCGTAAAAAAAAATATGCAGTTGTTTTAGGCCCAATCAACAGGATTAATATATCGCTAGCAGCTGGCCATTCTTTATACACTTTATGTGAACTTTAAAATCAACACTTCACAATTTAGCACCAACACTTTATTTGCCATATTTTTAAACCCTTTAGCTTGAATGTTTTAAAAATTCTAACAACTTGACTGTACTATGATGTGGGATTTTTTTCTTTTTTAATGGAGGCATGTTTTTTTTGCCTTCATTAACACAATTTAGATCATTCAGTAATAGTAGGCCAGCTTAAACCATGCCTCTCTGGCCACCCCGGCTGAGACGGATACAGTTTTTCAAACGAAAAACAGACATATGAACTACCATACTCAATAACAATTCTCCCCACACTGGAATGGAACATATGTCTTCTGTGTGTGACAGCTAGGCACAAAACCACTACACCCTAGCAGCTGGTCCATGTTGTGCAAAAAATGGGTTATGTGACACCACTTAAATTTTGCACACTTCCATGGGGGTGCTTTTAGCCTATTCAGTAGGGTCTACTTCAAGCTACCCTCTTGTACTGTCAGTTGAAAACACAAGTAAGTTCACTCTCATATTTATTTATGCACAACACTTGAGGCATATAAATTAATTATTAACCTGTATTGAGCAACAATACAAATTGCAGCACATCTTCTCTCACAACACTTTGCAAACGAAAAAGATTTTCAATATCTGCCAAATTCCCCTCTTGCATAGACCTTTGCCCGTGCATTACGATCTCTGATTGATTTGAGTCTCAAGAATTCCACACCATGACACATTCCAGCCAGCCAAGACAGTACTGGAACGAAGGCACACACGGCAAATGAGTATGAAAGGTGGCTGGACTTCGGATCCGGTATCCAATATTGATCCGTGTCGGACTTGATGCCAAAGATGATTATAGCAATGGCTGTGGTGAAACCTGAAAGATAATAATTTGATTCAAGGCTTTCCTGAATAGTTAGGACTTGTTTGAGAAAAGAGACACAAAAACATTGATGCGAAAACAGCCATTAAATAAATTAGTGCAGGGGAAAAAGTGAGACAGAGACAAATAACAGTAACACACTTAACAGGGTGGAAACAGAAGAAGTTGATCAATCACTGGTGTCTTCCAACCACCTGCTCTCTCTAAAATATCGTTAAGTTAAAATTATATGAAGTAAAACAATAATAATTTATTACAGAGTAGAATTTTCAATTCCAGATCACTACCTGACATATTCTTTCACAATACTTATAAGATTGCACATCCATCTGTGTATATGTGTGTGTGTGTGTGTGTGTGTGTGTGTGTGTGTGTGTGTGTCTGTGTGTGTGAGTGCAAAAGAGTGTCCTCATAAGTTTGGGATTATGATTAAAGTGATCAGAGTAGTGAATACTCTTTTGCTTAGCAAAACTGATACAGCTGAAAGTTCATATGACAACAGTTCATCAAATATTTTCAAAGGGCATTTTATGCTTAAATCCCACTAAAAAAACACAATTTTTCTATGATCTAAAAAGGAAATCATTAATATCCGCCAGCTGTTCAGATGTGGTTAGCCCAAAATTGTGAAAATACTTTATTATTACTTTTTAATTCTGTGGCTTCAGCTGCATAATGCTCCAAAAACATTTTGTTGAAATTCAGATTATCCCAAACTTGAAAAGAAAAAAAAAACATATAAAATTAAAAGAGGCATGTAGGCAAATTTTTTTTTAAACAATGAACTGAAAACAGTTTTTTCTCTCTTGAAAGAAATTTTGCTTTCAGAGCTAAGAACAATTGAAAAAATAATATTAAAAATTAGTCACTCTTAGTGACTCCATTTTTCTATCAAATTTTTAAAAAGCGGTACAATGTCTCACCATTGATTGTGGTCAGCAAAAACGCGACCCCCACGAGAACGTGCTCAAGGTGAGCGCTGCACACTCGTACAAAGAAGAGAATGTCGATGATGAAGGCCACAGGCTGCAGGAGGAGACCCAATGTCACCAGAAATGTCACCCCGATGAACCAACCTACAGCACGGAGAGGGACACAGCAAAGTTGAGAAATACAATCAAGCATGCTCAATGAAAACACGCATACTTATAGTGAAACGGAAACATGCACATAGTGAACAGAATTTTCAAATCTTTTCTTACAGTATTATAGCCCACATTATTCTTTGCACTCTTAAAACATGTATGAGCAGAAAGAAATTCATACAAAACAAAATGATTTTCACTTCCCGCCAGTTTTGGTATGCGTGCATGCTGGACTAGGTAAACGTTAAAAGTTAAATACAGCACCCCCCTCCCCCTTCCCATTTTGTGCAACATCCAGGTCACAGTGCGATTTTGTAGCATGCCATTATCAAATTATTTCACCATCCTGATTATCAACATATTGGGTGGTTAAAGGCATATATAAAAAATGTTGTTAAGAAGGGGGTTCTCGTGGTCGAGAGGTTAAAGTGTTCGCCTCTCATTCAATCAATGGGTCTGAGGTTGGAATCCGGATGGTGACAGAAAATTTTCTTCTCTAAACTTGTCTCCTTTCACCTTTCCTGTACTCAAACAATGTTCTATTGTCTGCTTTGGTCTCCACTTCCTGCCCCCATCCCGTCACCTCCTTTGCCCCCTCTGGTCTCTTGAGTCTTTCTGCAGCCTTTCTGCTGCTACTCTTTGGCTCCTTCTTACTGCTTTCTTCCAGCCACACTTCTGGTCTTATGGTAGGAAAGATTTAACACCTAGCCTTCTTGGATATGGGTTAAAAATCTCGGAGGTCCTGTCTGCAAGTTGCGTACGATCCAATAAAGATCCCTTGGTGGTCCAAAATCGATCAGAGCAGGCTTCTGTTGGCACCCGAGAAAAATTCAAAATTTCCTACTAAACTGAAGATGTTTAATGAGTCCTGGGCACTCATACGACCTTATGCAGTTGCAGGTGCAGTAAAACACTTACCAAAAAACCCCCCAAAAAAACCATTGATTATAACGAGGAGGGTATTTCAAATTCCATCTTCCCTCAATTGATCTTTTCATTACTGTGCTTCTTAAACCATTCTCTGTCACTGTTTCAACTGACATTGTGACCTTGCTGTTGGCTCACAGTTCTTGTAATTAAAATCTGTATTAAACTACGTCCAAGTCTTTAATAAGGAAGGGTAAAAAAATAGTGTCTTAAGCTTTATATCGAGTGCCCACGGTGGATGGGATCGGGTCGGGTTGATTGCCCGACTCATCACCTGAAAACAAACAGCGCGTTTGATTTTGAAGCGCCGACAGGAACGATCGGCTTGTGCCATGATAGCTGCTTTGCACCCTTAATCTGGCTAGCATACCGACCCGACAATGCGGGCACCTGCTTGTATTGGTTTAAGGATTTGTGTGTACGTTGTGTGTATTATGCTACATTGACAGACTGCGACCTCAGTGTGCTATTCTTGTCCTTTCTCCATTTTTTTAAAACATTGAAAATGTGACTTCTTCTTAAGCTCACTCTTTATATGACGAACTATTTTTTTACTGTTATAAAAAAATGAAGATAGGAAGAGGTTGTGAGATAGTGACACGTACCGGCACAGCATATATAAGTCCTGCCCCTGAAGTAGGCTATAATTGCAGCTAAGGTAACTGAAGGTCATACTAAAATGCAAAAAGACACGAAAAGATCTGATTTGCGTCCCTGCGTCTTCAGATTTCAGACTCATTTTCTGGGTTACTTTGATCAAAATTTGGGTAATCCTTACCATCTACGGTCTGTACAAGTCAGTTATATTCCGCCAGGATGAACACCCGAGACTTCCAACCGAATAAATGCCAGATTGGCACATGACGTCCTTTCGATGTATCATTTTCTTTTTTGTTGCCTTGCTTTACAATTATTATTATTAGAATATTAATTAAATGTAATTTTTCCGGACTCGTAATCGTAGGTTGCGGGTTCGGGGGTTCGAGCCTCGGGCCCGAAGTTGTGTCTTTTGGAAAGGCACTTTAAACGAATTTTCCCCACTTCACCCAGGTGGGAATGGGTACCCAGCTATAGTCAGTGATTTAGATCTTGTCAGTTTGTTAGTGTTTGAGCGCTAAACCAGCTGTTTGCACTCAGCACTGTGTATGCTTCCCGGGAAGCTGAGACGCTGAGAATGTTTCTGAGTATTCTATGGCCAGCTGGTGTAATAATATAGTGTAAAGCGCACAGAGCTTGCTTTTGAGTGGGTACATGAGCTATAAAAATGCCATTTATTTATAATTAATTTTAAACTGTGATAGGACGTTGTTGTTAAAGGCGTCTTGTGGATTTTCGCCATGCATGAACTCTCTCCACATGAATTCTTTTTTTTTGGGGTAAGTGTTACACGGCACTCGCAACTGTGTCATAAGGTCATATGAGCGTGAGGGACACCCTCCCAATTAGCGTTTTTTGCCATATCTTTTTCGGGAGGATTTTCGTAACGAAGTGGCTAGCCGTACTTAAGTACGGCTAGACTGCAAGTCTAGCCGTACTTAGATCTAGGTTTGGCCCTATCGACTCAAGCCTGTTAAGTACACAGGTCTCATTAGATCTAGATCTAGTAATTATTCAGGTTCAAATACATGCAAGTCAGTAAGGCACCTTTTTGTTTTGTCTGAAATACAAATACTTTAGGCATTGCAAACTAAAAATTTCATTTACAATTTAGCCATCAATATTAAGTACGGCTAGACTGCCAGTCTAGCCGTACTTATCTTAGGCCCTATTAACATTAGAAAACAGGAGGTTTAAAAATACATGCACTGTCATTTAGGCACCTGGTTTCGTCTCAAATACAAATACTTTAGGTACTGCACACTAAAAAAGTATATTTACAATTCAGTAGGCCTATTTTTTGTTAAATGGTCAGTCTAGCCATCATATTAAGAATAAGTACGGCAAGACTGCGAGTCTAGCCGTACTTAAGTACGGCTAGACTGCCAGTCTAGCCGTCATTAAGTACGGCTAGCCTCTTCCTTTTCATAACGAGCGACCACTACGACTATGAGACACAGCAGAATTGAGGGTTAGGGTTAGGGTTTGGTCTAGGCCTCTTCTTTATTGTGTTTGATGGGTTGGTCGCTCGTTACGGAAGTCCTTCCTCTTTTTGAGTGTTTTCGCTTCTTTTCCATGTCTTTTCGCATTTTAGTATGACCGGTAGACTAGATCTACATTTAAAGTTATTCTTTGCCGTTAAAAAATGAAACTTCACTCAAAGAGTAGAAGCACACCTGGGTATATCCAGTGAAGAATAGTTCGGAGCTCCCTGTCAAAAACGTAGTTGCACCCATAGTATCGCTTGGTCAGGGCATCATTCGCCCATGGAGGAGCAGGCTCCCCGTCTTCCCTGAAGCAAATCTCCCACAAACCCACATGCGGGAAACCAGCTTCTCTCGTCAGTTCTCTCTCTTGCCAGTAGGGAAATGCCGAAGCAAATATAACGAATACAGTGGAAAAAGCGATCAAAATTGCCCCACTGATACTCCAGCATGTAACCCTTGGTGTGCCTGCCATTTTGAAAGTTGACAGAGCTAGCTTTGTTTATCGTTGGGGACACTTACTTCCTCATTGCCAACCAAAGGTACTGTTTCCGGTGGACGGTTCCATATTCACGCAGGTATGGGGGTAGATTACAATGATGTTGAACGATACTTAATTTTTTCATTTTGTTGCCTCTCCTGCACATCTGGCAAAGCTCCTTTGACGAAACGCACACAAGAACTCACATAATAACTATGCGCAAAGTTGAACGTGTAAAAAGCTGTGTAGGCTATACTTTGGTAGGCCTACACTATGTCTCTTTGCTTTCTTTCTTGACTTTTCTGTTCTTTATCTTTTCCTGTGCCAAAGTGCCTCCTCCCCTTTTCAGAAGAAATGACATACTACACAAAAAAGTAGGGCGTTTTGAATTTTCTTTTGAACAACAACAACAACGTAGATGAATTGTGTGTCAGACTAAAGCTTTCCATTTGTCCAAAATGTTTCTATTGAAGGAAATCTGCGGAGATGCATAAACTTGGCGATGAGCTAAAAAGAAGTGTGTTAACAAAGTCGCTTGAAAAAGTGGGGCACTCACTGTGCCCCCCCCCCCCCCCACACACACACCAATACACCAATTTAACTCTTTGAACACACACACACACACACACACACACACACACACACACACACACATAAACACATATACCCAGAAGAAACACCAGACCCATGACTTGAACAATGGAGCAGGTCTGAAGATGAAAAATATATTTCTGTTCTTCATGCAAAAGTTCATTTTAAAAATCTTTTTCATCATTATTATTTTAGAAGTTTGCCCCCTCTCAGATAAACAGCCGAATGCTCCTTCCGCAACATTCAGCCTGTAACCCCCCTCATTTTGCGCCATCTCTTGGACTCGCCCAATGTCGCCAAAATTACAGGTGAGATGACCTAATTTCGTCAATCAGGAAGCGACAGGAGCGAGAAAAGCCTGTGTTCAAAATGTCGGGCACTACGGCCGTCATAGGCAGCGTTTTTGCTGGGGCCGCTCTTATTTTCATGGTCTTGGGATTTGCAAGTCCTTATTGGGTCGAGTCTTTCGAGGAATTCAAAGGCCAGTTTGTTAAGCTCGGTCTCTGGGAGTTTTGTTTCAACGACTACACGTTTTACAAGGATTACAATGGCAAGAGATACGTCGGCTGTTTCTATGTGTTTTCCGATGACATGCGCCCGATCTGGGAATGGGTTTCACCCCGTAAGTACTTCTTCGATTTCAAGGATGAAACTGACCTTTCGTTTGAAAGAAGTGGGTTCAATATATTATGTTGGAAGTATGGATAATATATCTTAAAGTTATTTTCCCTATCCTATAGTCCTATAGTATAGATATATTCTGTAACTGTAAGGTGTACAGAGACCTAGCAGTAATGCTTGGCACAGGTGTGTACCGTTTACTTTCACTTCCTCAACTCTTGCCAGAATCAGAAAGCTAAAGCAGAGATGTTCCGTTTCTGGTTTGTTTATTTGAGTAAATAGAAGCACATCGACTTTATAATGGTACTTTAGTGCAGAGAAAAAGTAAGATGAACAGATAATAAACAACGTTACAGCAGAAGGAAAGTAAAGGATTTGGACCCACCAATGGCTCCCTCCAACTCCAACCATCCACTGATGTTCTGGGACTTGAAATACTTTTTATTTGTAACATATGATACACCTGACTGTAAGTCTAAGCGTGCGTCTAGAGTAACAGGGAGGACTTCCGTAACGAGTGATCATTATGCGACAGAAGAATTGTATAAGTTCAGGCGTAATTTAGGTCTCTTTGGATCTTTATTGTGTTTGTTGGGGTGTTCGCTCACAACAGAAGTCCTTCCGAGTAGCAGTATTGTTAGGTCAATAGCAAATTAGACTTTCCTTACACATTCTGAAATACTCGCTGCAACTGAAAAATTATAAAGGCCGGCTCTATTTCTCCGAACGCTCTGGAAAATAGTTGAAAAACACTTGAACTCTATTTCTCGGAATGGTTTCCGTTCTCAAGATTTTTTTAATGGAGTGGCCCGCGTGTGAGTGAGTGTGCGCGTGTGTGTGTGTAAGTTGTGAACGGAAGGTGTGGGTGGAGGGGGAGAGCGTAGATGCATGGAGGGATTTTTTGTGATACAGTTTTTGCTTTAAGGGTGACTAAATGCAAAATATGTGTAGGTTACTGTCAAAATCAAGCAGTCTTGTTTTCTTGCAGAACCTCTTGAAAGCAGTTACAAATGACGTATAGTATAGTCCAGTAACGTTGCTCCTTCCACAATTGAAGTATCTGAATATTCAGACATCTAAAAATCTCTGTCTCTCTAGAGATTGAATTCTATGCAAAAAATGCTTCTTCCCAGTCCTTGCAGATTGGCAGAATGAAAGATGGCGCTTAACTCTCGTAAAAAAATCTTGAGAGCAGAAACCGTTTGGAGAAATAGAGCTCAAGTTTATTTTCCCGAACGTTTGGAGAAATAGTCACTTCGAAATTTATATTGAGAAATAATTACTGGTTTAACCTTTCTGGTTAAAATAGTAATAAATTAAAATTTTAATCTGTCTCATTTTTCAAGTTTTATAATGTTGAGAAGCTTCACGATAGCTTCAAGTATTTTGAGTAGTTCACAACTGATATACTTTTGTATGGTAGGGTAATTTTACTAAGCAAGATCAAAGGTGATGAAGACTGATTACGAGACCTTTGTCAGTTATTGGTTACCTTCATTCTGGTATGGCAGAAGTTATTTAAAATTAAATTAGAGAGGGAAAAAATGGTAATCTAGGTTTGGCCTCCAATGATTATCCTAACCAAGCTACCCCTTCTCCCCTGGTTAACTCTAACACAAACTCATAAAATTGCTATAATTTATAGTAATTGAATGTGATAATATTAATATATATGTAATAAAAATAATGATAAAAGGCTAATTAATACTAATTGTATTAAGGCCGGCCCTATTTCTCCAAACGCTGTGGAAAATAAAGTTGAACCCTATTTCTCCGAAGGGTTTACATTCTCAAGATTTGTTTGTTATTTGTGAATGGAGTGGCCTTCGCGCGCATGTGTGTGATGTGTGAATGGGGGGGGGGTTATGTTTATATGGAGGATTTTAATTTTTGCTTTTTGGGTGACTAAATGCAATATAGGACTAGGTTACTGACGAAGTCGAGCAGTCTTGTTATCTCGCAGTACCTTTTGAAGGCATTTTCAAATGAAGTATAGTCCGGGAACGTTGCCCCAACCACAATTGAAGTATCTGAATATTCAGATGTTTAAAAATCTCCAGCTCAAGAAATTGAATTCGATGCGAAAAATGCTTCCTCCCAGTCTTCGCAGAATGAAAGATGATGCCTAAATCTCTCAAATAACCAAAAAATCTCGGGAACGGAAATCGTTCGGAGAAATAGAGGTCAAGTTTATTTTCCTGAGCGTTCGGAGAAATAGTCACTTCAAATTACTAATTTATTAATTATAATTTAATAATGAGGGCAGGGGGGACTAAAACAGAGATTGTAAAAAATCGCTGTCTGCTTATGACATATATATATATATATATAATATTATTATGTGTACTATTTTGTGTTACATAGTATTGTTCCTAGTTTGTCCTTTTGACTTTTACCACTTCAAAATTACAGTACGTGGAGGCTGCTTAATTAAAACTGAAATTGGTAGGACCGTTCAATATTTTTTGGTTTACCCGTACTTGGCATGTTTTCACTGAAGAGAAGTTGCCCTGGATGGAGCGAAAAAAGTTTGAGATTTTATTTTATTTCTGTTTACCCCTGTTTTTGGATTACCATGGTTGGTTAATGCAAAGCTTCGCGGCATTGTTCTGTTCAATGAATGATATGAGGTTTTATTTTTGGGATGATTTGAATTTGATCAAATATATAATTGTGTCAAAATTGTGGCTTTTGCACCTCTACGAAAGGAAAACCGGTCTGGCCTTGACTGTAATAGATGGGTTAGATCCGTATGAGCTGGGCATTGTGTACTGGTCCCTAGGTATTTACAGTGTGTAATTCACTAGCAGAGTCAATGAAAAGAAAATAACTTCTAGCTTAATGCTCTGTTTTGTTAGCTGCCTGAGGAAGAGCTGCCGTTGCTATACTTTTTAGTCGTAAAATTTTTGGTCTGTCAATAAAAAATCATCCAGGTAAATATTGTAAGGGTGGCAAAATATGAGTTATTGATAGAAAGTCATTGAAGATGTGAAATAAATTATTTTAAAAAGGTGAACCTCTTTTACACACCGATCGAAAAAATGTAGATAATTTCAGGTTTCTAACCTGAGCTGAGAGGGATACTCAGACAACTACTGAATTATAAAAAGGTCAAGATACTCGATAAAAATTTCTCCCCACTCAGGAATCGAACTCAGGTCTCCTGCGTGCGACCGAGAAGTGCCTGTAACTGATTTACCACAGATGCCGGTATAATAACAATTTTTGTAAAATATTTAAGCACATTTCAGGATTTAATCAGAGCATTTGAAACTTGGCAACTCATCATGTTTTTGGGTGCTGAATTCTTTTCTACTCTATCAAAACCAGGTCTTTTTGTGGAGCTTTTTTTCCAGAACAGAGTTATGATTAAGAATTGAGCACAGATTCCTTAAAAGAATTTTTTTCTCCTGTGTGTCTTTCCCCAGCTTGGTTCATCGGAATGCAGGTCATGTTCTCCGCTGCTCTCCTGTTCATCTTCCTGAGTTGTGTGTGCCTCACATTCTACATCTTCAGGCTGTTTCCCAAACAGATTGAGTGGGCAGTGTTGATAGGCAACGGAGCTGTCATGGGTCTCAATGGTAAGTCATTTTTTGTTAATTTTGTAACTGCTGGGAAAAAGTTCTGAACCCTGTCTTAACTTTTGATCTGTGGCTCTTTTGTCTTTAATTCATGTTTTGAAAGGCAGCAATAATTGTTCTGTTATCTTGTAGCAAATTCAATGCTGTGTCACATAGATTTTTTAATTTTTCAATATATCTTAAGTTGTTTCAAAGGTATGCCACATTTCGTAACACTGCTTCGTGTACAAACAAAGTTTGGAGAAAAATCCAATTTCTAGCACATTTTTATCTTTTGGTAAAGTACAAAATGTTGCAAAAATAATTAATAAAAAACAATTTAGACTTTATAATATTATGAATTCCTTTCAATACGTTACTAGATGTGTGTTTTCTGATGGATCAAAATTGTTGACCAGGTGCGATTTTTTTTCCCTTTTTACCCCGTTGCTCAAAAATAGCTTTGCCGACAGCTGGGACCTTTCTCCAGGCACACAAACACATATCTAGCATCCGCGTTTGTCGCGGCCGTGAATTTTGCATTAACCCCCCCAAAAAAAACAACAACCCAACCTACCCACGGTGAATAAGAAATGGAAAAAATAAAAACGCTGAATAAAAATAGAAGAAAAAAGAAGAGATACCGAGCCATATACTTTTAGAAAGAAAGTTTGTGTTTTCACTTCGTCTCTTTCTTACTTGCTGACATCATGTCGATTTATTTTCAAATGAAGAATATAAGTACTTCACATACTATTTATGCATTGCTGTTTCTCTTTTTTTTCTGTTTGTTGTGTTTTAATTTGTTGGTGTGTGAATTTTTTTCCGTTGTTATTGTTCTGATGTGTTGTTTTTGTGTTTGGTGTTTATATGTTACGTAATATAATTTAATTTGATATTGTTCCTACTTTTTTTTTTAAACACAAATGTGTTATGTTAGAGCGTGTCCCCACCAAAACCGAATACTGGCACTGGTATCCCCCTTGTGTGTGATTCCATAATTTAAATGTAATTTACTGTGCTTTAAAAAAAATTACACATGTTTAGGGTTAAAACGGCCAGTCTTTGGATAGATTGACACACTTCCTTATTTGTTAATTTTTGTGGTTGTTTATGTGCTGTTCTAATTTCTTTATTTTTCACATTTTTACATTCTGTGTGGCTACAAAGGATCTTCTGGTTGCTTATAAAGAGAGCACAAGAAATTCTGATGCTTTAGATTAAGTTACCTCAATCGACTTATTGCTATATACGTCATCACAGAGAGTTGCAAGCTTGAAAATTAATGGCAACTTTTTTGGCAGCTTTTGCCAATTTTTTTGGGGCAACTTTTGGAGAGAAAAAATGGCAACAAAATATATATGGCAATCTTTTGGCTGGTTCTATGGTCATAACTGTCATGATGTTTATCCTTTTTTCAAGCTTGTTTATTTCCCCACCCCTGATTAGGGAGTGAGGAATTTGAGAGTCTTATCACATTTACTACACCCAACCCGGTTCCTTATTTCATTCCAAGTGACCATTCTACTCATCATTCTTAACATCCCCAGTCATCTTCTCCATTCTAATCTAATCTTATTTGTCCTTCTTTCCATCCCCAGTTAATTATTTTCACTACTCTCATCCTCTTCATCCTTCTTCCCATCCCCAGTCATCACTCTCATCCTATTCATCCTCTTTTCCATCCCCAGTTATCGTTCTGCTCATAGCTCTCATCGTGTTTGGGGTGAAGAAGGAAGATCGTCGCTGGATGCCGAGGCCTGACATGAACCTTCTCTCGTGGTCTTACGGCATGTGCTGCATGGCCGGCTGGTTCTGCCTGTTCTCCTGCGTATGTCTTCTTCTGGCCGGGAAGGCCAAGATGTCGGAGAAGGGCAACTACAACTACCCCCGGGCTGCTGTCACTTACACTTGATTCATAGGAGACGAGAACATCGAATTGACAAGTTTTTTAAAGTTTGGAGACATTTTTAAGGGAAGCAAAAATGGTAATGTCAGGGTTTTTTATGCAACAAATGTGTGTCTTACATGAATGGGATAAGTGCTTCTTGTGTTTGTATGTTAGCTTGTGTGTGTACGAATGTGTGTAAATATGTTTTTATGTGTACTTGTAAGTTCAATGAAAATATACCATGTGTGAAAAGCCTTATGATGTTGATCCTACTTTTTAGCTTTGTCACTTGTAAAAAAAATATGAGATGTGACCTGCCATATTTTATGTTATCTCCACCAAAAAAAATAAAGATTTTCTATGTAATCTGTTGCGCGGTGTCAAAAAATTAGTTCAAGGTGGATATTTTTCCGTATTTGTGTAGAGTTTAGAGGAAGCATTTAGAAATTTTTGTGTGGATGAAAATCAGAAAATTTGATGAGTGAGTAAATTGTTCTCTTCTGAATAGATAATTATAATCGTTGTTTCTAGCTGTTCCTTTTAAAGAAACCTGAATATTGTCTGCAATGTATGACGGATGGTGCACCAGACGCAAATTATTTATATTTCGAAGTAGGAGTGCTAGTTTTTCATTGTTAATCTCAGAAAATGACCTTTTTAGATAAATCTTTTAGCATTTGATATTTTTGTCTGAGAGTGGGATGGAAAGAAAATAAATCTAAGCGAAGACAGCAGAAACAAATGAGCAATTTGCAACAGGTGCTTTACAGGCATGTGTTCACAAATTACATCGCTCACACAATTCTAGGTGTAGGGACGGGTTGTCCTCTTGATACTCATTGGCTGATAACCTGTACTGCTGATTCTCAAGTGTATTTTTTATTTTGTTTCATTTCAAATCTTTCATTGGAGCACTGAGATGTACATATCTGGTCAGAGCCACACTATATATGAGAATATCCTTTAGGCGGATCATAGATGGCCATTAGTTTATGAAATACTGGTACAGTTAGAAATATACAGATGTGCCTCAGACTGAACTTTTTTGTGTAGTTGAATTTCTTCTGAATTTTGAGCAGGCACATCTGTCAACATTTCATTTCAGCAATTTTTATTTGTAAAATAGTCTCATATGTATATTATACTTCAGTACAAATGAATTTTCCATATAATCATGCTACAGATCATAATAAGAATTATTATAGATGTATATATTCATAATTTGTTCAATTTTTAACATTTCGAGTTTTCTGCATTAAGCTCTCAAAAACAGAATTTTCTTCACCTTCCGAGGGGATAAAAATAAACATATCATCCCTTGTAATCTTGAGTAAGAAATCAGATTTTATTCCTTTTACTTTTAAAGTTTTAGTAAGAGTTTTAGGACATTTGCAAAATAAATGGGTCATTATATATGTGCCTAAGATAAGTCATTTCTTGGCTCATTTTAAATCATCTGAAAAATGTAGCCTACTGTCTTAATGAAGAAATAATTTTCTATCGTTAAGATTAAGAAGCATTAGCCTTTGATTTTGTAGTACAGTACCATTAGTTTAATCTGATAGGCAGACCTAAGGGACTGTTTCGTTGGGGTTTTTTTTTTTCATTTTTAATATTGTGTGCATATCTTTTATTAATTTGTATCTGGTACATAGATTTCATGTTTTAATTAAAAACAGTTTGCAGATCACATCCATCATGTACATTATTTCAGCATTATCATTGTCAAGGAAAATACATTTTCAGCTGTTTTCATTTTTCCATCTCTAAGAAAACATTGAGTCTTGAATTTCAACCACAGAGAAAACTTTACACATTCCAACAGTTTTACTTGGAAAAAAAAAGACATTCCAGAGCATCCACAGATCTAAAGACTTGTGCTTAGTAGGTTTTTTCCTTAAGTTTAAGATCATTTAGTTTGCAAAGTAATGCTCTTTTCAGTCAGTTTTTTATTTTTTAATATTTTTTTTTACTTCAACCTTCCATTTTTAAGCAGACGTACCTACGATCTGATTCTTACAGTTTTCTATGTAGATTTCATAGAGTATGAAATTTCTCTGACTGATCGGCTCAATGCTATACTCTATTGAAGGTGAAAGAATTTTTCAGAACACTCTTGGAAATTATTATATTTTGTAAACTAAAATGAAAATTTAGTATTCTTTATTTTAAGTTTCCCCCTGGAATATTAATTACATTGGTTTGTTTTTAGTCCCATGTCTGTTACATATGTAAGGTTATTTAGTGTGTTCAAACTTGAAATTCCTGCAATTTTAGACATAAAAAAAGAATGTGTTTTACCAAAACAAAATATCAACTTTTCATTTGCATCTGTTTCCTGTTGCAAAGCACGTGTGGACTTGTCATGTGCCCTGATTGTTACAGTTGACCACAAGATGTCAGAAGCCTGGCGCAGCTCTTGTAAATAAAATTTGTAATTTTTTCTGAACTGTCTCCAATTTTTATTATTTTTGACGTTTCTGATTTTTTTGCGTCGTACATTAACATATTTGGGGTCCTGTGGGGGGAGGGCTCCTTTAACCTTGCTTACTGTCAAGGCCAACCAAGGGTATGTGGAATACAAAAGTACTCAATGAAAACATGAGGTATTTTGGTGATTTTAGGTACTTGTAAAAAAAATGAAATCACGGAAACCGGCACTGGCTTTTTTCTGACTGCTGGACAATTTATTTGTAATTTTCTTTTTTGGCTCAACACCTTTCCAAATAAAATACTTTTATGTCCATTCACAAACACATTTCTGGTTGGTTAACCTGAAAAATGTGATCAAAGGAACAAAATATGTATATATTTGTAGTTCCCAGGAACACTCTAGCTTTGGAAGTCACGAAACTTTTGCGGCCATTTTCTCACTAATTTTACCTCTGACACCAGACGACCCTCACCTCCTTCAATCGCAAATATCTGAGCTTCTATTCAAGATAGATGGGTTTGCTTTTTTTTTCATAAAAAACAAAGCAGATGAACTGGCTTTAAGTTAAGATTATACCAATAATTCCATATGCCCAAATTTTGACAACTGCCCGATTCCAGCGTGTTGCGACACAAATACTTGATCTCCAGTCCGGAAGTGTTTTCTTGTCTTTTAACTGCAACAGCAAAGAGCCTGTTCAGTTTCAAAGACAGCCTTTTTTATTTTGTGAATCAATGCTTACGGCCGAGGGTTGAGTTCTTCGCCTCCCCCCCCCCCCCCAAAAAAAAAAGAATTTAGTTTCTACGGGCAGAAGATGTATTATATTGTATATCGAGTATTTCCATCTTTCTGCTGCTTCTTCCAACACCCAGGGTTTGAGCAGCCTGCTATGCCTCCTGCAGGAATGTCGAGACATTCATCTGTATTTTATTATTTTCACTGAAAGTAAGAAGAAAAGTTCTGCCGTCTTATGACAAAACGACGTACATGATGCATAATTAGGTCAAGTAGCGTTTTTATACTGGGAAGAAACCCCCTAAAAAAATCAATGAAATAATATTTGGCTATGAGATAAAAATTTATCACTAACAACAATGTAGCCTTTTCTTCATTTCTGGTGAGGAAAGTGAATCGTCAGAGCCAACATCAGCAGAGTTTACTTTCACATTATGATTAGCCCTATCCGTACGCCCTAGGTTGCATTCTCCATTTTAGAATACTTCTAGAACGAAGATCTCTTTGAAATGAAACTTTCAGTATTTCTCAAAAAATCATTTCGACAGACTGCTATGCAAAGCGTACTGATTGGATTAACAAGTAAATTTCCTCTTTGGAAAGTGGTGGCACAGAGTTCCCTACATTGTATGGATAGGATAGTAAAACACGACGTACAGATAGGGTTAAGCAATGTTTGCTTAGGGCTCAGAAAGTCAGACAAAGGGAAGCCATGACTGGTTAAGAAAGTGAACAGGAAAGAGTTAACAAGGACTTTGATGTTGTCTGAGAAGTTGGATGTCTTTCTAGTGACCACTCTAGCTGTCCCCGTGGTGTTATGCAAGAAAAATTAGGAAATTAAGCAAACTGAGCCCAAAAATGTGAAATTATGTGATTCTTCTGTTAATTTTTTAGAAAGAATGATAAAGTTATAAAGGAAAATAATCAGAAATTATGAAAAAAAGATCAAATTTTGCTAACTTATGCGGGGTGCATAAAACCATGGGGACAGCTCCACGAAAAGGCTCAGAGACATATACTTACACAGTGAGGCACTCTATAAATGTAATTATACAAACGTGTTACAACCCCATCGACACAGGCGACTTTGGTGAAATGGTTAGCCTCTCTGGCACTGTCAGCAGAAGATGTTTATTCCATTCTCACACAGGGCAATTAATCCTATCCATACGCCCTCGGGTCATTTTGTACCCCCGTGGTTGTATTCTTCTCATTTTAGAATACTTCTAGAGCGAAGACCTCTTTGAAACTTTCAGTATTTCTCAAAAAATCATTTTAACAGACTGCTATGCAAAGCGTACGGAACGGATTAATGAGTAAATTTCCTCTTTCGAAAGTGGTGGCACAGAGTTCCCCACATCGTATGGATACGATAGTAAACCACAACGTACGGATAGGGTTAAGCAACATTATCAAATATTATGTTTATCCATCTGTCTGCTTGGAGAGTGTGTCCCTCTTACTCTTAGTCCTGGTTGATCCTAACATCCACCACACCCACCATTCAACATTCAACAAAAACATGGCCCACTGAAGATAATATTGCATTACAAATTTGAAAACATATGGGCCATTGAGATTGATTGATTCCATGTACTTTTTCATTGAAAGTTTTGAGTGATAGGTGTGGGTGATTGGCGGGTGCTCTAGTTTGGTTTGCTCCCTCTTTCCTGTCAAATACCCTTTACCCTCATCTCTCCTCTCTTCTTGTGTTTGTTACACTGTAACACCCCTAAAACTCTAACCTTCAGCACTTGTACAACCTATTGGGTATTGCAAGCGCTGCAAAAGTCTTTTACTAAAACTTTAAAAGCCCGAAAGATAATTCTACACTGGAGGTAAATCAGCACCCAATAAAGTCAACAGAAAGTCACAATTCCACACACTACGTCTTTACTGCAGAAGATTTGACTTTTCTAAGACATCTGACTACCATCAGTCAATGGGAGTACAAAATTTCGGACACAGAAAAGGTACAAAAATACAACATACAATGGAATCCACTTAACTAATCTGACATCTGAGGGATTGCCAAATTTTCCTCAGTTTAGCATCGCAGTGTTTTTGATATAGCGAGATTGCTCTAACAGCAAAAAAAAACACAAAATGGGGTGGGGGTGGGGGGTTGATACTTTCTTTTCGTTTACTGCTGTTTTCAGATTTAACTGTGTTAGTTATAAGAGAATTCCACTGCATGCCTTGATAGAGGATTTCTGAGAGCCATCATAACCACAGGAAACATATGTCACACAAAAGGAAATAAACATAAGATCGTTAAAAAAACATCCTCATCCCTCTGTACGACTTTGCATAAGAACTGCTTTCTTCCACCTCTTTTGCTTTAACATTGGGGACTTGGTTTTCTGTCTAAACCCCCACCTCCCCCCCCCCAAAAAAAAAACAAAAAAAAAACAACCCAAAAGGAAAAAACTTTGAAGTAAAGGCTTGAAAAATATTATCCACGACAAATTATATTACCATTGTATCTCAAACTCAAAACTGAGAAATGTATGTGGGGGAAGAAAGCAGTCTTCGGGAAGTGATGAAAGAAGAAAAGCATTCAGCAACGGCAATAATACATAAAAAGTTTTTAAAAAACTGAATCCAGCATCTGGTTGCAGCTGATCAGAAAAATGCATGTTTATCACAGTTCTGCTATGAAGAGTGCATTTTTGGACCGGCATGGAATAATAATATGTGTTCAGAACAAGCTCAACATACAAGAGAAAAACAACACTCAAAACGAATTCCTAGCCATGTTTTGAAATATTAAAAAGTTACAAAATGTAACAAAAGCATAGTTCCTTTCACTAGCAACAATGAATCTCCTGTATTTCCTTGTAAAAAAAAAAAAAGGAAAAGAAATATAGTGTTGCTTTCATTTTCACAAAAAACAAAAGACAAAATGAGCAGGAGTTGCCGGACCAATTCCTAAGTATTACCGACATTAAAATTTTGTATAGAACTTGTCAAAAAAATATAAGGAAACTTTGAACAATGCTCTTTTGTTTCAGTCAATGGATAACTTACGTAGCATCTGTGCAAATCCTCTACTCCTAAGCAGCCTGATGAACATTGCACATTCCCGTACAATACTGCAGCTAACAGCATGTGTTCTGCAGTGTTTACGTAGCACTCACAATAAAAACACTGCGCCTTTTATAGAACCAATATTACCCACACAGATTGCATTTTTTCCAGAAACAAAAATACATCCACATCACCCCAGTAACCTTTCACCTTCCCTTCCTATGTCCCCATATCCATATCATCTCAGTTATATTTTACAACCCCCAACCACCACCAACAACCCTGTTCATATATGTGTCATCCCATTTATATTCTTCAATCCTTATGTCCCCATCACCTTAATTACGACCTCACTTTCCTTTTGGCCACATCACCCCAGTCAACATTCATCTTCTACTCAGTGAAAGTAAACTCAGACTCCTACATTTGAAAACATTTACTGATTTGTATTTTTTTTTAAAACACCCAACTCCCCCCCACAACAAAACAAATTAAAATAAATAACATTCAAGCTAATTTCATAATGGCAGTAATCTCTTTTCCACATTTGCTTTACTCGCCAGTTGAACTAAAACAACCCCGTCCAGAGAAGATTCATAATACATTGTATATCACACCCCCCCTTCAAACCTGCACCCAACACCACGAATATTTCTAAGCTCGGTCAGATTAACCCATACAGTATACAGAGAACAGCTGTCCAGTGTCACTGTAAACTTGTCACTAACATAAATGTCTGTTTCACACTAAGAGTAGAAGGGAACAGCACCAAATACCTGGTACGCAAGATTCTGTTTCTTTAGTGCTTCTATTTGACCTTGAAGCTTTGACTTTGACCAAACAGAAATGCTATTCTTACCAAGGTATCTAAAACTTTTCCGACATTCTGTCAGTCACTGTTTTGGCATCAAATGGTATTTGAAAGCAATAATGAGTTCCAAGTTGTCAAATTTTAAAACAAAATCTCAGATCTGGTTACTTTGCCTCAGAAACAAAAATACATTATCTGGCAAGCTGTCTGGATATGAGAATATTTTCAGTGCATTCTGAAATGTAAACCTAAATTCATACTGTCCATATCCCATAAACAAACAATGACAAGATAAACTCTCATTTAAATAACAAACGGTAATAATAGGTGATAGATAACATTTGTATAGCACAAATTCCTGCTTAACAGCAAGCTCTATCTATGCACTTTATAACCTATATCATTACTCCAGCAGATTTGATAGCATTCTGAAACA